ATGGACCTAAGCAAGCATCTCGCAGATGGAATCTTTGCTTCAATGAAAAAGTAAAAGATTTTGGATTTGTACGAAGTGAAGATGAATCATGTGTATATGTCAAGGCCAGTGGGAGTATAGTTAGCTTCCTTGTTTTGTATGTTGATGACATACTGCTCATAGGAAATGACGTCCCGACCTTGCAGGAGGTTAAATCCTGGCTCGGGAAGTGCTTCGCTATGAAGGACCTCGGAGAGGCTTCCTACATTTTGGGAATAAGGATAGTGAGAGAAAGAAGTAAGAGACTAATAGGACTTAGTTAGAATACTTACTTAGATAAATTACTAAAACGTTTTAGTATGGAAAACTCGAAGAAGGGAGAACTACCGATACAAAGTAATGCCAAGTTGAGTAAGACTCAAAGTCCGAGTACCGAAGCCGAGATAGCTAATATGAGCCGAGTACCATACGCTTCCGCAATTGGCTCCATCATGTACGCTATGACTTGTACTCGCCCTGATGTGGCCTTTGCTTTGAGCATGGTCAGTAGATATCAAGGGAACCCTGGCAGAGCTCATTGGATTGCAGTCAAGAATATACTTAAGTACCTTCGGAGAACCAAGGAATGGTTCTTAGTCCTCGGAGGGAGTGATGACTTAAAGGTGCGAGGGTATAGTGACGCCAGCTTCCAGACCGACAGGGACAATTACCGTTCGCAGTCAGGCTGGGTCTTTACCCTTAATGGAGGAGCAGTGACTTGGAAAAGTTCCAAACAAGAGTCCGTAGCTGATTCAACATGTGAATCAGAATACATTGCAGCAAGCGAAGCGTCAAAGGAGGCGATGTGGTTGAAGAACTTCATTGGTAACCTTGGAGTTGTGCCTGCTATAAAAGAGCCTATGGAAATTTTCTGTGATAATGAAGGAGCGGTTGCCTTGACCAAGGAACCAAGGGATCATGGTAGATCTCGACATATCGACAGAAAATATCATTTTATTAGACATCGAGTAGAAGAATGACACCTCGTAGTGAAGAGGGTATCTTCAGAGGATAACCCATCAATCTCGCTTACGAAGGGACTGAGTAGGGTTAAGCATTTGCAGCACGCTAGGAGCATTGGGCTGAAAGACGATATTAGTTTAGATTAGATAGTTTTGAAACATGTAATAGATAAATGTAATTGACATTTGATGATTAAATAAAAGAGTATTATTTATAAGTAAAGTTAATTTCTTATGTTAATTGTTTAACTATTGTTTCACTTTGCATGTTTTGACTTCCTAAATAATTAAGTTATTAAGAATAATCGAATTATTCGAATGGTCCACAGTCGTTCATATGTTGGAAGTAGGTATGAATGAAGATTGTCATGAATTGGTGTGTAGATTGTCTAAAAGAGTATTAGACATAGCAAAGGTTTGTTACAACGTTCATGAGTGCTTATGAACAAGTTTTGAGCATTGGAATAAACCTGCGCTTGCTGGAATCACCTTTTGGAATATGACACAAGTGATCGCAAGACGATAATATCATATGGTCTTAAAACCAAGATATATGGTTTATTGTTTATTAATTAATTGTGCATTGACAATGCGAAACCGCATCAGTAAATTGATGTCATAAAACGCATTGTTGTGTATAATTGATTAGTAAATAATAAATGCATATAAGTCGATGTTTATCTGTTACTTTTATCCTAATAGAATAAAAGCGATATCACGACCGCTCGATGATTTCATTTGACTTATGTGCCGGGCCCGGTCAGGACTGAATTGATGTGTTCAATTAAGTTCTATGTCGAATGAATCTGAGATCGAGAAACCAAATGCTGGACAATAAGTTCCATAAGATTGTCTGCATAATATCTAAACAGAGGACTGTACGATCCCTTATCTAAAGGACAGGAGATTGATAAGATCAGAGTTGACAGCGTCTTTGAGAGCTACGATTGCTAATCGGTTTGTGTTTTGTCTAAGGCTGTAACTATATTTGGTAAGTACTTAACCCGGTTGAGCATGGTCCTTTTGGGTTGCCTCCACCATAGCAACTTGACAGGATGATTTGTTAAGAGAGAAGAAATATTATTAATATATTATGAGAATAATATATTAAAAGATTAATAATATTATTTGATTAATATAAGTCATATATTAATTAAGAATTAATTTGGTGACTTAAAGAGGTTAATTGAATTAAGGGGCATAACTGTCAAATGTGTGATAGTTTTGTTTTGGGCTATGTATCCTTATAGATAATTGGGTGGATGAAATTTAGGGTTTGGGAACCTTAAAATCATCCAAGCCTAATATCTAGGAGGATCTTGGATTGCTTAGGGCCTAAGTTATTCAATTAGGGTTAAAGGTGAAACCCTAGTATCCCATAGTATAAATAGACCCTAGGGTGAGGGAAATCGGCACTCATGCAAGGCAAGAAACCCTAGGGCCGATTTCTCACCCTCCTTCCTCTCTCTCAAATCATCTTCTTGCTAGTTGGTGTTTGTAAGCCATTAGAGGAGTGACAATTGAGACTCTAAGTTCCAAGAAAGAAGAAGTATCAAACAAGCAACTCAAGGTATTCTTCTAGATCTGTTTTTCATATGTTATGAATTGTTTGTTTACACTAGATCTATGAATGAAAGCCTTGGATACGCATGTTCAATTAGAGAAAACTAGATCCAAGCAATTAGGGTTTGCATGTGCACATAGGAAAGTTCTTATGGCTCAAACCCATCAATTATAAACCATAAACATCATTCTTTAACAATCACAAAAGGTTGACAATAGTTTTTTGACCAAAAGGGCTAAAAGACCAAAATAAAACCATGACAACAAACTACTTTTAAACCATTACATCCAAATGCACAAAAGTGGTGCTAAACCAAAAGATAAGTTTTAAACAAAATACACTAATTTCTACATTGACTGCCACCTCTATTCCCTCCTTGACTTCTTCATGCATTTCCTCCTTGACTGCTTGCTTCCTGCATTCCCTCCTTCACCCTTGCAAGTCCTGGAGTTATGACCCCTATTATTGCATTTCCCACACTTGACACTAACAAACTTTCTGGTGAGTTTTTTAGGTTCACTTCCACCATGTTTATGCATCTGACTATCATATTTTTCATCTGCACTCCTCTTTCTCTTGGTCTTTGGTCTTCCAGGTTGAATGTGATGTGGTGGTGGTGTTAATTGAAATCGACAGGTACTTTTTGGCCACATGTCTCTACCCTTTATTGGTTCCACAGTGTAAGAGTAAGCCTCATTCCAAGTTTGAATCCAATACACTTTGTTGACATAAGTGTAAAGCTCCCCAACTTAATCTCCACTATCATCCATTTCATGTATTGTAGCTATGGCATGCCTGCATGGAATCCCATTCAACTCCCACCTTCTGCATGTACATGACATATTTTTCATGTCAACCACATGTTGGTCATGTCAACCACATGCTGGTCATGCCAAGGACCATAAACTTCATACTTTGCAGTCCCATTCCATCTAGCCCTATATTGAACTGAAGCTTCCCTATTTCTCTCAAGTAACCTTGATGTTGTTGGAGTGAGTGGACCTGGAGCTTTAGACATCACTTTCTTCACATTGCAGATCCTCTTCATAAGGTACTGCCTGATGTACTCAAGACAACTTATGATGGGCTTATTCCTACCATGAATAAGCTTACTGTTGAAAACCTCACACAAATTGTTGAGCAATATATCTGATCCTGCTCTGCCTGTATTAAACAAGAACATTATATCAAATAAGTCAAATACAATTAGCACCAGTAAAGCTTCACTTAAGGTATGGAATAGAACCTGAAAAGTGGCTTCTGGCCCAATGGTGAGGGGGGGTTTTCTTCAACCACTCAAAAGTATCCTTATCAAACTTGTTAAGTTCATTCATGTAGTGTTCAAATCCTGGTACTGTAGTTGTTGTTGCACACTGCCATAAGTGATCTTTATACTCTTTTGTTTTCCATTTTTTTCTTGTGTTCTCATAAATATGCCTTAGACAGAAAAAAATGCTCAGCTTGTGGGTACAGTTGTGCAATAGCAGGTAAGAGTCCCTATAAAAGATTATCCTACATAATCATTCCAACATTCATATACAAATGAACTATTAGTTATACAAAAAGAAGAAAATAGTACCTTTTGTCTATCACTCATGAAAGTAAAGTTAGAATTTGAGTATAACTCTAAGTCATCTCCTAAGCATTCTAGAAACCATTTCCAGCTACTCATATTTTCAGTCTCAACAATGGCATATGCAAGTAGGTATATGCCATTGTTTGAATCCAATCCAACTGCAGTGAGTACTTGGCCTGGAAATGGTCCTTTCATAAAAGCACCATCTAGTCCGAGAATATCTCTTCAACCTGCTTTAAACCCTTTCTTTAATGCCCCTAAGCAAATATACACCCTTTTAAATAGACTTGGCAATTCGTGTATTTGTGTCATGAAAACGTGTCAGCCACAAATTTGACACGATACGATTACACGATGAGAAATAAGTTTTATCTCAATTTTATAGATTTATTCATGTCATGTATTCGTGTCGTGTCGTGTCTCTCACAGATTCGTGTATTCGTGTCTGCAATTGCCAGGTCTACTTTTAAACTACCTTGTTTCTCTAGCACTGTTAGGCCTATTAACAACCTCAAGCTTCACAGTTGTATCCACATTAGTTGCTTGTAGTTCTATAAGATAATCTCTTAACACCTCATATTGCTTTGTGTAGTCACCGGTCACTTGCTTTGTAGCTGTTGCTTTTGCCCTCTGTACTTTGTGTATGGACACACCAACTTGAAGCCTTTTCTGAACTTGGTCTTGAATGCTTTGAAGGGGTACAGTAGGGTTAGACTCGACCATGTCCAAGATTTCTGTGGATATATACTTCGTAGTGCAAGCCCTAAGTTTTCTAGTTTGAACACAAGTATGTTTGTTCAATAAAGTTTTCACATACCAATAATCACTATCTTTTGACCTTGAAGTCTGCATTGACCAAGAGCAATTCACTTTATTACCCTTACCTACCCCCACTTGCATTTACATTAGGTACATTACCTTTACACACAACCCTAAGCCTTGTTTTGTCGTTTTTCTTGAACCCAAGATTCCATCTAGTCTGAGTGGCAAGTTTGTTGACTTTGTCCTTAATTTCCTTTTTATTTTTATACTTTTGACCCACTTGAAAAGTAACTGCATGGACTTCACCAAAAGAGCACTTCTTCTCCTTCACCATCTGTTTTAATATTGCTTTCCTCCTCTCATCATCAGTATCTTCACCTAAGGAGTCCCATTCATCATTATCAATTACTTCAACATCTTTAATATCTTCAATATCAACATCTTCATTTTCAGTTTCAACACCCTTTCCTCTGTCAACATAATCAACATCTAGATCAACATTCATATAGAAATCACTCATGTCCACCTCAATATCACTTACATAATTTTCTTCATCTTCAAGAAAGTCACTATCTTCCTCACTCCCTTCACTACCCCCTTTACTACACCCTTCACCAAGCCCTTCACAAACTCCCTCACTTTCAAATTGAACTTCACCAAGTCTTGCATCAACTCCCATACTCTGATCATTATGTTCATTAACATTATATTGATCAAAGAAAGGATCAAAGTCTTCAAATTGAAATGCTTGGGTATCAAAGGTATCAAACACTTCTGTATTTAATTCTTGATCACTAAGACTTGCACCTTCATCATGAACTTTTGTATCTTGATCACCAATAGGTGCACCTTGATCATGAATTTTTATACCTTGATCACCAATAATTGCACCTTCATTACCAATTTCAACATGTGCATCTTGATCACCAACAGTTGCAGTGTGTTCCAAGTTGAAACACAAAAATTCTTACTACATGATTGACTCCCTTCAACTAACCTCAATCTCCTATTCTTATTGTATTCTGGTGTCTCATACCTTACCAAACACAATTCATGTTTTGGTTTACTGGATGCAAATCAACCAGTACTGAATTTGATTTTGGTAAGGGCACGTCATCTGCTATTTCCTCAACTATGACCCTAGGTTTAACTCTTGGAGACATAAAGTATGTAAGTAACTTAGTTTCATTATGTTAAGTGTATACCTTGATGATCTTATGATGTTCAATGTACTGTGCAAGACTAAGTACATCAACATCATTCCCTACAGCTCTAAGACCAAACTCCAAATCTCCATTTGACAGTTGATAGTGGTAGTAAATGACTGGTGGTACCTCATAACCAAGCTTTAGCATCACCTCATCCAACTCATGCACAGAGAATTCATACATGTCTACCAGGTCAACGTGGTCTAATTTTCCTTCAATGTAGCTTATCCCTGGGAATTTTGTGAACCTCCCTCCATGATGGAGCTCAATAGTGAACATCGTGGGATATCCTTCTGTAAAAATCATGAACCAAACCAAAAAAAACATTACTTTATACAGATTGTAAAAGATTTTTTTGTTCCAAAGAAATATGTATGAAACAGAGTACGTTACCGTAAATCCGAATTGCATCAAAACACTGATTTCTTGGCCTGATTTCCCACATTTAGAGCATACTCATGTATTCGAACTTACGATTGGAGATGATGATCAAATGCAGGATTTCAAGGAACGATTAGGGTTTTTGATCAAAAAAACGGGTTTACTGGGTAGAGAGTGAAGGGTCATTAATTGTGTATATCCTTCAATATGGCGGTAATCGATGACATTGAGGTGGAAAGACTAAAATACCCTCGTCTATATTATAGGTAATGGAACATATGGACAGAAGTTAGTGTGAGGGACCAAAATCAATAGAAATATCCAATTTTAGACTAGTGGTGCACCAATATATCGTTTTGGACCAAAGTCGCATAATTTTGCCAACCACAATGACTATTTTTGCAATTCTGTCTTAATAATTTATGTTTTGTTTTTTATTTGTTCCAAAATAATTATCCATTTATAAAATAAATATCATTTTTACCAAAAAAAAATACAATTTATTATTAGTTAAACTACAATAAAATCATTTTTGTCTAAGTACAATAATTTTTGAGACAAAGAGAATATTATATAATATTATGTGTTTGTTTTCTTTTAAAGCAATTTCGTAACAAATGGATCTTCCCAAAAGGTAAAATTCAATAACCACCACCAGGACAAATTCATGTGGAGTAAGCCAAGAAATCTTGACAAACAACAAATCCCTACCATGACCACATAACAACCCTCTTTCTCCTCCTTCCCAAAGGCCAAAACAACAAATTACCATTTTATAACTTAAATCAAATCCAAGCATTTATTACGAAAAAAAATGAATTTATTCAATTAATTGTTTATTTTATTTCATTTACAAAACAAAATCTCTTTCAACCATGATGGAATCAATTTGCTGTTTTCCATTATAAAATTTACTGCAAACTTCAACGTTCCTCTCCTCTCTACCCTTATGGATTCCGATTTTTGGACCGCTCGTCTCGCCGCCGCGAAGCGGCAATTCACGATGCAACACCACCATCACCACCACCACCAGAGCTCCCATCTGGGTTCGGTTTGTTTTCGTTTATTATGTTTCCATTTTTTTATAATTAAAATGTGATTTTTTCCCTCAAACGATTAGGGATTCTTATAGTTTAACAAAATCATCATTCAATTTGAGATTTCTGTGAAGATTATTGGTGTTCTCATGATCTGGGTTGTTTTTAATTCATCATTCCACTCTAATTTCTTGTTTATTTCTCAGATCGGTTGAACGTTGATGATTTCGAGGTCGAAGAAGAAATCCGACCCGATTTTCCATGCCCTTATTGTTATGAGGATTTTGACATCGGGTCCTTGTGTTCCCATCTCGAAGATGAACACTCTTTTGAATCTAGAGCCACTGTAATCCTCTCTCTATCTCTTATACACACACATATATGTATAAATAGTCAAATTATATTAAAATAGCTATGAATTTTGGTTTTAGTCATGATCCAAGTTTCCATTTATGGGAAAGGGGAGATTTTTTGTGAAAAAACTTTCCATTTTTGGTCATTTTGGTATTTGTGTAACTGTGTTATCTAAAAGCGGAAACATAATTGATGTTTGGTCATAAATTAAAGGTAATTAATCATATGTTTTGTTTCCATTTGATGTTAAGTAGCTGTTCGTGGAATTACTTTATCTTCATAGCAATATCTATTTTTTTCTTTGTTTATGCAAAATAGTACAACCTAACATCTTGATTGAAAGGGAAAAAAAAAAAATTGAGAGCAACTTGCAAAAAGTTAGGAATTTTATTGGACAAAACCCTATTATTAATTTGTTCTTTCTGTATTAAGTCAAAAAAAAAATAGCTTACTGGATTAAGTTATTTTCCTATTAAATTCCATTAAGTTAAAAGAAACAGAAGTGAATAACTATTGAAGTATAGAATGATTTATTTGGTCTCAAGTCCATTGCTTTATTATCCTCACATGATCGATTTCTGATAAATTTAGTAAATTTGAAAACTAAAATTACTTCTTTGCCCTTTGTCATCAATTACAAATTATTGGTTTCAGCTAGGGTTCCTTTACTTTGTTGTTATTGAGGGGTAGTTTAGACATTTAATTACATGGTGAAAAATTAAACACCATAAATAATCTGTAACAAGGACAATGAGCAAAAAGGTAATTTTACGAAGAAATGCAAAAATCAAGATGGAATTTGTTGTAATTTATAGTTACATGAATCTTACAGTGTCAATTTTCTCTTTTGCAGATTTGTCCAGTTTGCTCTGCTAAAGTGACAAGAGATATGTTAAGCCATATCACTCTGCAACATGGACACTTGCTCAAAATATCCTTTTTAGATTTTGCCATAGAAAATTGGTGTTTTGATGTGCTTTTAAATTGATTACTTTCATATATTTGTTTATTACAACATCCTACTTTTATTTCTTCTTGTTACAGTTTTGTACTTTGAAAAATCTATCCAATTATAGCAATGTCAGACACGTTTAAATTAGAAACATATTTGACTGTTATAATTGGGTAGATTTTTCAAAGGACAATGTCTCTAGAAGAAAAAAAAAAACTAAAAGTATAATTTTATAATTGGGTTCTTAAAGCACAACTTAAGTAGAAAAAAAATTGGAAGTACAGTTTTTTTAGTTCCTGAACATAAATAATTATTATTGGGTTAATCTCATAATGGACTTTATATTTTGTGTTTTTTTCCGGATTAAACCTCAACTTTTTTCTTTTCTGAAAAAGACCTTGTACTTTTTCAGTTTTTCCGAAAAAGCCCTCAACTTTGTATTTATTTCCTAAAAAACCCCTCAACCTTCTAAATGCTTCCAAATAAACCCTCAACATTTTTAGTTTTTCTCGAAAAAGCGCTCACATTTTACAATTTTTTTTGGAAAAAATAACTAGAAGGGCCAGATCGGAAAAAATGAATATATATATATAATATATATATATATATATATATATATATATATATATATATATTTCAGGCAAAAAATAAGGGTTTTATGCAGAAAAGTCCCATTATTTTGGGAAAATCGCATAATCTGTCATTTCCTGTTAAAAAAAAATCGTTAATTTGGGCAAAATGTTAAATAATCAGGACTTTTCTGTTCAAAATTTATTTTTTAAGACTTTAAGATTTTCCTAAAAAAATAAATTTAAGGTTTAATCCAGAAAAAACACAAAATATAAGGTTCTTTATGAGATTAACCGATCATTATTTGACGTAAACTTTAATCAAATTTATTATTTAATTATAAATTCAAAGATTTCTTTAACTACAAGAATACTTGCAGCGACGCCGTAGATTACGCAGAGTGGCGGTTCCAAACAGTCAAGCACTTTCCCTTTTGGGGCGGGACCTACGGGAGGCTCATCTGCAAGTGCTTCTCGGAAGCGGCGGCGGTGGTGGCGGCGGTTTCCGTTCAAATATCACCACCTCATCGGCGGCAAGTGTGGCGGCTTCTGATCCGTTTCTTTCTTCTTTGGTTCTAAACTTTCCGGCGTCTGAAGCTGAAGAGATATCCAAATCGATCGCGTCAAATGTGGAAGAAAGTCCCATGAAGTGTCAAACTCCACAACATATATGGAAATCAAGGTAGTGTGTTTGTTATTAAAGATTTCAAAAAAAAAAAAAAAAAAAAAAAAAAAAAAAAAAACATTGTTGCATAAGTTAGTAAAATGTTGAAATTTTTTTGCAAAAATTGGTAAAAAGGTGTAGGAGTGTTCATTTGGATGAATCGGTTTAATCCGATCCGATCAAGTGAATCCAAATTAATTTCGGTTTTCAAAACGTAGATCCAAATAGTCCACAAACTAAATTCAAATCCGATCCGATCCAACCAAATTATAATTCGGTTGCATCGGTTTTTTACAATTCGGTTTTCAAGAATCAAGACATTTCAAAAAATATATAACTTTAGTATTAATTTACTCTATAATATAAACTAAAAAATATTGTTTAATTAGTTGTGAACTAAAAGTTATAAATAACTATCAAGAAAAATATATTATAGTTTACTACAATATTTTGTACATGATTATTGTGATAGAACGAGATATATTTTATATGATACTATTTTTGACATTTATGTATTTGTGTTTCACAGTTTTGATTCTTCATTAAGTTCTGAAGAACGGGAAAAGAGAATGAAACGAGCTGCTGGACAAGCCGTTTTTCTACAAGATCTGCTAATATCAACGCTTTTATCGGACTAAAGTGGGACCCGAGAGGAAGAGCTGAATAAGTTTTTATTTGCAAATATAATGTTAAAATTATTTGCTTTTAAAAAAAGGTCACAAAATCACAATAGAACAGGTCATTGGTAAACCGATTGAGCAAAAATCTTTGTTGTATAAGTTTCGATCTGTTGTTCTTCGGCTCTTGCCCTCTTGATTGACCCGTGTTGTATGAGCAAATATGATGTTTTTTCTTTCTTTTCTTTTTTCTTTCATGTTAACAAAATCGGTGATGTTTATTTCTGATTGTTTTGTTTATGGTACAAATTTCCTGTTTTGTGAAACGTTTGTTGGATTGTGTATGTCTTTTTTTTTTTTTGGATGTTTGTTTGAATGCATGTTAGTGATTTGTACACAACAGTGTTTTGCCATACACAACATTAAAGCATCAATTGTTGTGTATGGAGAAAAATTGTTGTGTACGGATCAGCTCCTTGTTTTTTTTATTTTTATTTTTTTATTTTTATTTAGGTGGTGTTTCTTTTTTGACACAACGAGACATGACGTAGGACGTGTTTGGTAAAAGTAACGGGCAGGTAACTGGTGGCGTGCAGCGCGTAGTTGGAAGCTGAAGATTTTATTTGATATACGAGTGTTTAACAAAAATAGTTGGAAACTTTTGAAATATATAAAATTACGTAAAAAGACAATTGTTTAAAAATAAATAAATATATAAATATATTTTTAAGGGCGATGATGCAAATTGATTTCAAAAGTTCAGTAGTGTTTTATTAAAAGCTATATATATATATATATATATATATATATATATATATATATATATATATATATATATATATATATATAAAGTAACTTTTAGATTTGAAATGTTTTGTTTAAATTAAAAGCTAAATGTTCACAAAATGAAGTTTTTTGTTTAAATTTGAATGTTTTCTCAAAGGCTAAAAATTAGAAGCTTCCAAAACAAAGTTTTTTTTTTTTTTTTTTTTTAGAGAAATAATATTTCAAGAAAACATAGAAAAATGATGTTTTTTTTATATTAATTTCCAATATCTTTTTAATTTGCACATTGTTTTTCCATGTATGTCATCATTTTTAAATTTTTTTACGAATTGTTGATCTATATAGCATTTATTGGAAAAAGAAAACAAAGTGTTACTTCTATGATTAATTAAGGGGTAGCTAAAGCTATCATATGTTTTTAGTTTTATGGATTTAGAACTCGTATTCTATTTGTTTGTATTAAAGTTACCATATTTTGAAAATAATTTTAACCGTAATCCTTATTGTTGGTTCACCATGTTATCAAAATAAAGTGATGTATATATTTTTTCATTAAAGTCACTTAAATTCAACTGTAACTTTTATTGCCGGTTGACCTTACTACCATATGATAAAATAATATTTTTTTCCATTAAAGTCTTAAATTCAAACGTAACCCTTATTGCCGATTTACCATATTACCATGATAATGTGATTTTCTTTTTCATTAAAGTCGCTTAACTTCAACCATAACCCCTATTGCCAGTTTACCATATTACCATGATTTGGTGATTTTTATTTTCATTATAGTCACTTAAATTCAAATCTAACCCTTATTGCGGGTTCACCATGTTACTATGATAAGGAGATATTGTTTTTCATTAAAATCAATTAATTTCAACACATTTTTCTGAATAGACTACTATAACACTTTTTTTTTTTTCGTTTTTTTTTGTTAAATGCCGTATTTTTTATTATAAAGAGTTTTTAAATATGGTATTTTGTTATAATTTTTATATTGTCTTTTTTTCTTTTCGTTTTGTATTCTTTTTGTTAAAATTAAACAAAGAAGAAAACCATAATGTGAAGATTTTTCTTCTCTCGAAATGACACTGTTAGTGTGCCGACGCATAAATCTTCACATCAACTTTGTTACACACAATCATCAATATCCTCCATGAATGCTTTTCGTGGGGGTTGTTAAAATTAAAATCTTAGATTTGATTACCATATCTTCAAACTTACTTGTTTATTTAAGAGTGAAATCATATGAAGTTTGTCATTTGTTTAATTTGTTTGTTCATGAGGATACGAAGTTGAAGAACTTTCAACCTACAATTCATCTTCAATGCGGATGAAAAAAAGGAAAAGCCAAAGGAGGATGTGGTGTTAAAAAATATGTCAATGTCAAATCATCTAAAAATTATATACCTTATTAAAAATTTAGAAAAAGACCACAATAATAATAATAATAATAATAAATACTTGGAAAGATGTTATTATCAATGTTCTAAAAACCTTGTTATGACGCGTCAAGGCTCCAAGGCTTGTACTTGTCGTTAAACTTTAACAAAATGTTGTCTTAGGTCATATATGTATATAAAAATGAATATTAGTAGAAAATACATATAAAATTACTAATTATATAGAAAATTATCGCCTAAAGTCACGTCTTACAAACGAAATGGTTCGACATGACTCGTAAAATCTTGAGACTTGACATTGTCGTCTAGTCACGCCTAATGTTATTTAGAACATTTGTTATTATAGATCAAATTTATCAATTTACCAAAAGTTGTTATTATGATAACACATTAATCGTTCTTAAAAAAAAATACAAATATATATACACACAAAAAAAAGGACATTCTATTTAAAAAATAATGTACATAAAAGTTGTTATATTTGTCAAATCAGAAAAATGTGATAAAGTTTTTGAAAATTTTAGTGGTTTTAAAGTTACGTTTCATTCAACTATCAAATGGTTTATATACAACGAGTTCTTGATCAACAATAAGATAAAGATAACAACTAGCTAATGGATAAAGATAACAACTAGCTAATGGATAAATTAGATATTCCAGGAGACGATAACTCTTCAAATTCCTTTACCCCCCCTCAAGTTGGAGCATGTAAGTTCCGAATGCCCAACTTGCTAAGCAAAAAATGAAGACGTTGGGAACCTAAAGCCTTAGTAAATAAATCAGCAACCTGATGTGAAGTGTGAACATGCATCGGACAAACCTCTTTGGACTCAACTCGTTCACGGACAAAATAACAATCCATTTCAACATGCTTAGTTCGTTCATGGAACACAGGATTATTAGCTATGTGCCTTGCTGCTTGATTGTCACAAAACAAAGGTGTGGGACCGACAGGAGGAGCTCCCAAGTGTTTCAATAACCAACGTAGCCACAAAGTCTCACTAACAGACGTTGCCATGGCTCGATACTCTGCCTCTGCTGAAGAACGCGAAACAACGGACTGCTTTTTGGTTTTCCAGGAGATGGGCGCACCTCCAAGTAGAATCAAATACCCGGTACGAGAACGCCTGGTGGCAGGACAACCAAGCCAATCTGCATCACAATAAGTCGCAAGATTCATTCCTCCACCTTTTGGAAAAAATATTCCCTGACCTGGTGTTGCCTTTAAATATCGTAAAATTCGGTGCACTGAGTTCAAGTGTGTTTGCCTTGGATCGGAAACAAATTGACTCAGAATGTTTACTGGATAAGCTATGTCCGGCCGAGTTGCTTGTAAATAAAGTAGTCTTCCAATTAAACGTCGGTATTGACTAGCATCAACAGCAGGACTATCCTTGCATTGATCTAGTTTCAGATTTTGCTCCATCGGAAAGCTACAAGGTCGACAACCTTGCATCCCACTGTCTTTAAGAATATCTAAAGTATACTTACGTTGACTCAAAACCAAACCATCCGTAGTCCGAGCAACCTCTAGTCCAAGAAAATACTTCAATGGGCCTAGATCTTTGATGCTAAACATTTTGTCTAGATACAATTTTGTTTCTTGTATCTTAGAAGCATCATTCCCAACAATAACGACATCGTCCACATATATAAGAGCTGCAACAAAACTTCCCTGTTGCTTGTATATGAAAAGTGAATGATCCGCATGCGATTGTTTGAAGTTAATTGCGAGCAAAGCCGTTGTGAATTTGTGATACCAATTACGTGATGCTTGCCTGAGACCATAAAGAGATTTACGTAACCGGCATACTCTAGTATCACCTTCTTTGCTAAAACCTTGGGGTATCCTCATGTACACCTCCTCATCTAGATCTCCATGCAGAAATGCATTGTTGACATCAAGTTGATGCATGATCCAGTCTCTTTTTACAGCTACAGCAAGTAAAGTTCGGACAGTAACAAGTTTCGCCACCGGAGCAAAAGTGTCATGAAAGTCTACCCCTTCTAACTGAGTGAAGCCTTTTGCAACAAGTCGTGCCTTGTATCTCTCAACTTCGCCATTTGGTTTGTATTTAATCTTATAGACCCATTTGGAGTCTATAGCACGCTTTCCTTTTGGTAACTCCTCAAGTGACCAAGTTCCATTTTCTTCAAGAGCGTTTACCTCTTTTTGCATTGCTTCTCTCCACTTAACATCCTGCACGGCTTGATTAAAATGTTTCGGCTCATGGTTTGAGCTAATTGAAGTTAAAAAGGCTTTGTGCGAATCGCTAAACTGATCATAAGACAAAAAATTAACTATGGGATGTACCGTCGAAGATTGTTGACTGGCGGTGGGTGCTGCATGGTCTACCGAAGATGGCAAGTCCACAATGAAGTCATCGAGATATTTGGGTCTAGACCTGCTTCTTTTATCTCTGTGTTCTTCAGTGGGTTGCATTTGATCAACTGTGTCTTCTGTAACATGATCTGCCTGATCTTCAGACGGGTTTAGATCAATGGCGGTCTCGTTCTCATTACATGTACCCGAGTCTAAATCAGGTTCATTTAGTAAACCTTGATCAGCCTCTCTTCGTGTTATTTCATCACTTTCTTCGACAGTGTTGCTTAGAAAATCATCGAGCCCTGCTTCACCATTGTTCCTTTCTATATTATCAGAGAAAGGAAAAACATTTTCTACAAACTTAATGTCTCTAGAGACAATGATCTTCTTATCGGTAAGGTCAAATATTCGATATCCTTTTTTGCCTTGTGGATATCCTATGAACATGCCTGGTCTCCCCCTCACTTCAAACTTATCTCCTTGGTTTCCGTGTTTCTTGCATAAACTAAACATCCGAAGACTTTCATGTGGTCATAATTAGGTTTTTGTCCAAACAGGACTTCATATGGGGTCTTATGTTTAATGACCTTTGAGGGTAATCTATTGATAATGTACGTGGCTGTGAGAACACACTCTCCCCAAAACTTGATTGGCACATTGGCCTCAAACTTCAACGCTCTTGCGATCTCAAGAATGTGTCTATGCTTTCGTTCCACAACCCCGTTTTGTTGTGGGGTATGTGGACATGTGGTTTCCAATATGATTCCTTCCTTGGCATAAAAATCTCTCATGGAGCCTGATATGAATTCACCACCATTATCTGCTCTTATTCGCTTGGTTTGTTTTTCAAATTGCGTTTTCACCATGTTGTGAAAATCAATTAAATAGCTGCTTGCTTCATT